TATGATATGAATTGTAAGCAGACTGCAATAAATTTTCAATATCAGGGCATAACAAATTAGTTTCCAAAATGAGAAGCTGCCTCGTCCGTACATCCAGGATTGGTTGAGCTAACTTGCTTACTAAATGCTCCCAGAAGACTGGGAGAGACCCTTCCTCTCTATGGCAAGAAGTTTTTGCCCAGCTCTGATGCTGCCCTTCATCCTTCAATACACTACTGTCCCTGCCAACATCCTTGTTTCCTGATGTGAATACTTGATTGTCCTCTGAAATAGTGGGCGGGATTCGTGTAGTTGTAATTGATTTTTTTGGTGGGACTACAGCATCTTTAGACCTACTCAAGGACTTCTTCAAACGAGTTATGTTACTAGAGGATTTCTCTTCCAGAACACCATGATTGTCTGCTTTACTTGAAGTTTTTGACTGAACCGCTGTACCACCTGAGCTGCTCTGAATTTCATTCAAGTCCCTGAGACACTTATACTGTTTGTGCAACTGCTTAGGAAATATGACTGGGCTGTTCCAAAGTATAAAGGGTTTGAAAGGAACACTATTGTTTCTGGCTGTGAAGGTGTCAATGATATCCTCCACCTTCCAAATGGGAGGCAGAAGCTTCTCCAACTCATACATTCTAGGTTTCTGCTTTGCATTTTTCAACGCTACGTTCAACAGTTTGACACCTTCTTCCTTCTGACTTTGCGAAAGAAAAGACCGTTCTATTTTCTCTATCAAAGGTTGGATAAATATTTCAAGATCCATGGAGAAAGAGCCTTGAACTCCAGGCCTGAGGAAAACAGAGGTGCAAACTCAAAGGCTCCGAATTTGCCGATAGGATTTTTCCATCTGATGAAACCAACAACCACAATGATATAAAAACACATTAACTAAAACAAGAGAACGAAAAACATAAATCCATTACTCCAATAAACTCAACTTCAAAACTTCAATAGTTGTAAAAAGCGTTAACATTTCAAGAATTAGTTAAATTCTAACAGTAAAATTAATTAGTTGGTTTAAGGAACAATTGCAACGAGTCATATTTTTGAATCAGAATAACTCAAATATTCAATATTCAATAAAATTCTAGTTGTATCAAGGACAACCTACCAATGTCATATTTATAAAATCAAGTAAAATTTTCTCTTCAATATCTCACCAAACCCTTCAAAAGTAATCATTTGTCACACCATTTTCCAACTTAAAAACTATTTCTTATCTAAAATTAATATATACCAACTAAGCATTATCCAATTCAAAACTCAGTTTCATAACCCACATATTTTTATGTAAATCTAAGAATGACTTTAGTCATCTTTGTGTACATAATTTGTTAAAAACATCAAAAGCATGCTAAGAATCTAAAAATCTACAAACACACGAAGATATGTACTATAACTAAGATTTGAATATATATAGTAAGATACAGAAATGTGAAATTTTACCTAAAAAAGACTTGCAACCAATCCTTTACTCTATTTTGCTCATCATGGAGTTATATCTTCGAAGAACCAAGTATCAAATTGAGATTAAGTTGGACTGCAAATAGAGAGTAAGTTAAGCAAAAGGGGAAAATGGAGAAAATGGGGGTTGACTTGACTGGAATGCTCAGAGGATGAACAATCCTTTTATTTTTAACTTTTAAACAAAATCGGATTATTCTACCAGGTCCTTAAACTTTTTTTTATTTCTAATAAGTACATGCACTTCAACTTCTCTCTTTCCCTCTTTTTTCACTTCAGCCCCAAATTTGAAATTCATTATATTAAGATATGAAATTTATTTTTTTATAAGAGATTAAAATTGTCTAATTGCTTAAAAATTAAGAGTGTATAAAACAAAATTAGAGAAAAATAGAAAGAAACTTAATAGCGAAAATCTAAACTAACAACAAAATATGACCATATATTATGAGAGAAGAATAAATGAGGGGACAAGTTAAGTTTGGACCTAGAAATTTTAAGGCTAGTTAATGATTTTAAAACTACTTTTATTCCTTTTTTTCTAAAATAATTATAATTTTTTATTTTAAATTTATCTCAAATTAATTGTTATTTTTTTATTTTTAAGATAAATAAATGTTTTTTACTTTTAACACATTATTATCCATTTATTTTAATTAATCATCTAATTGTAAAAAGTCTTATTTTATCTTTTATTTCCTTTTTAAAGATATTTTTAAAAAATAATAATATTATCCTTAAATCTTTAATTTAAAAAAATTAAAAAATAAAATTTATTTTGAAACAGGGGAGTATGATTTTCTTTTAAATAATAGCTGTTTTAATTATACGAGTTTTTGTAATGATAATAACAAAAGAACAAAAAGATTTTATAGGTTTGTTTTCTTTTATTTAAAATAAATTTTTTAGTTAAACATAAACTTTTAAATTATGTACTAAAATTCCCCAGCCCTATATTTAGTTATTAACTAAATTTATTTATGTATATTAGTTTTTTTATTAATATTTTTATTAAAATACTTTTAAAAGTATTAAACTTTGGCAAAACCCTATAGCCCCTAAACTTATTTTAAGTTTTTAATTAAGCTCTTAAATTTTTAGTGAAGTAATTAAACTCCTAAACTTAACGATTTAGACAAGTTAACTCTATTCCTTATAACATACTTAATGTTCATTTGTATCTTCTTTATATAGATAAAATCAAAATCTAAAAACACCTTTAGTATGCTGTTTTGATTAGTTTCTTCCGAAACAGCCAATAACTGATCCTTAGCAGCTGATAATTTATAATTATTAATATTTATAATTTAAAATATCTAATCTATTTGATTAAAACTAACAACTTGTACTTATAATTAAAAGGTCAAAACAAACGCTTTTAGCATACACTAGGTTCAAGGTGAGGGAAGGAATGTATATATTTTTTGACTAACTAAATTGTAATATTGACAAAAATTATAATTTAATTAGTTAAAATCATCTCTTTTCTCACATTCTTTTCATTTTTTTTCAAACCAAACATACTCTTAATATTTCTTATTTTCTAAGATTAATTTTACAGTACTTTTTTTCTGTAGCAACAACTGGAAGACTACCCGACAATTCCGAACAAATTCAATATATCAGATCTTTTACTTTAACAAAACCCTTCAAAAGTAATTATTTGTTACCGTTTTCCAATTTTGTAACTATTTCTTGCACTATGGCAAAAAAAAGAAAAAAAGAAAAATTAATATACACAATTAATTACACAAATTAACTATTTCTTACACAACTTAATTACACAAAATTAATAAATAGCAACTAAGCATTACCCATTCAAAACTCATTTTCATCACTCAGACATTTTCATGTAAATTCATGATTATAATCTTCCTAGTGTACATGACTTGATGAAAATATCAAAAGCATGCTAAAAGTCGACAAAAACATAAGGTTATGTAGCAGATCTAAGATTTGAGAATAATATATAGTAAGAGAGAAATGTGATTTACCTAAATAAGACTGGCAAGTTGCGACTACAATCCAATCCCTTACTCTATCTTGCTCATCATGACTTGCATCTTAGAAAAATCAACCATCAAAATGTGAGAATGAGGACGGTTTTCTTAGGGACTGAGACTGGGAGGCTGAGATAAATAGAGTGAGAGAGATTCACGGGATCTTAGTGACAGGAAGAGGCCTCTGTTCTTACTTTAAACAAAGTCAGTTTGGTTCTACAAGGTCTGTTGACTTGGGTGTACTTCTTATAAAGCACGTGCACTTCAGACTCTCTCTCTCTCTTTTGTTTTTTTTTGGAAAATAGGCAATGGTTCAGGCCCTCCTTTGTCCGGCAAAAATATATGGAAAGCCTTTATCTTATCGAGGAGGGCCTGTTTGGTACAACAGTTAAAATTCAGCAGATAATGGATAACGGGTAGCGGATAGCGGTAACAGGTAGCAGGTAGCGGGTAGTGGGTGACGGTTAGCGGATAGCGGATAGCAGATAGCAGAAAGTGGGTAGCGGATGGTAAATAGAGGATTCGATAAATATAATTGTTTGGTTATACAATAGTTAGCGGTTGTTGTTTAACATTTAATGACTACTAAGAACATGTTTAAAAACAAATAAACATATTTTTTAAAATATTTTTATTTTTTATTATTAAAATTATTAATTTTATAAAAAAAATAATAAAATAAA